CACTATTCATTACATTTGAATCACAGCTGACTGCAACTTCCTGTTTTGTGTGACTCCAAGAAATGCAATTTCTTTATTTTCAACATTACTCATATTAGCAGTTTCACGATTTTCTAACAATCTTTTTGAACATTTCGAGCGAATATGCCCCATTTCATGACAATGATAACAACGAACTTTAAAAGTATGTTTGCTCTTACCTTTGTATTTATCTTGACCAACAAAGGCATGTGAAGAAACAGGTACACAAGTAACTTCATTTGTTTTTAACCTCTTCAGGGATGAATTAATTCTTTGAATAATAAAAAGTCCAATATTTTTCTATATTTTAATTATTAACATCCGAATACATGAAAAATTGCAAAAAAAAATATTGTCAAATTTGACATTGTAAAAGTCAAAAACGAAAACGTACACATATGTTGCCAATGGGCGGATGATCTATTGATGAAACGATTCCATGCACTCTGGGCAGACACTCTCCTGACACTGCTTGCATCTATATCTTGTTCTGCGTTTGCAATTTCTGTCATGACATCTTGGTGGATTTTTGTAGTCCATTTTCATTGAATAATGTCCCAATCCATTCAAGCGAACTTCAGGTGCAACTTTTGTCCACGTCTTTTTCTTTTTTGGAGCAGAATTTTCGGATGAGGGTCTTCCTCGTTTTTCCATTTAACTCAATTAAAGTTGAAGCAATAGATGCTTTAAATTCTAGTAAAGATATTTTTGATGATTTGGCTTCTCTGAACAACAACCAAGCATTTATAATTGCAACATTCATGAAATGAAAAACAATTCTCAGATAGAACTTCTTGTTTTTGATGGCATGTGGATAATGAGCAATCATTCTATCTGATAAATCTACGCCACCCATGAACCGATTGTACTGAATAATAGCCTGTGGCCTTTGAACCTCAATGTAAGTCTTTGTCAATGTAAATCATATGAACAAGGTTATTGTCTGCCCATCGTAGCACTGTAATGTTGTTTTCAGATGTTGTCACGGAACATGAACCTCTACCTTTTTTCTTAAGAATCTTACCATCCGTCAGTTTTTCGCTAGCTTTGTGTATTCTGTTAGCCCTGACAGTTCCTACTACATGTATATCTGCATCTTTTAGGTAGATGACTAATGGTATAGAAGTGAATAGATTGTCCAAAAATATTTTGTGATTGAGACCTTCTAATCCTGAACACAGCATCACAACTGTATCACCAATGATACCCAATTCTGATTTATTTTGATTTTTTGAGGACTGGTACATCTCAAATTTTGATACATAGCCATTTGCTGACACTCGTACCCATACTTTAAATCCCCATTTCTTGGGTTTAGATTTAATATACTGCTTATTTCTACTTCTTCCTTTGAATGGAATTATCATTTCATCAATAGCTATATACTCAGTTGGTGTTGCAGCATCAGCAAACGTTCTACTCAGTAAATCAAGAAAAGGTCGTACTTTTATAAATGCGTCATCATTATTCTCAGAAATTTCATGGTTATTGTTGAAGTGTAAATATCTTTTTATTTCTTCATATCTTTTTAGGGACATAGTGTTAGCAATTTGATAAAAACTCAGACCTGGAACGGATGACCAATACATCCGATAGGCAGGGTATTTTATGTATGTCATCATGATGTTGATAGCAAAAAATTGTTTCATTTCAGCAATGCTAACCGAAAATGAATGTTTTCCAGATTGAAGCGCATAACGAATTGTTTCTGTAGTAATTAGCTCGAAAATTTCATCAGGAAATAGTTTCACAAAGAAGGAATATGGCGTATCGCCATTTATATTGACTTGATAGTTACCTCGAAAAATTGGTGGATTGTTTATAAAGGCATTATCCTTTTCTGAATACCAGATTTCGGAACTCTGTATTGGTACAGGAGGCTCAGATGACAATGCTGAACCTGTTGCCCTCTTCTTACTGTATTTTTGTTGTCTTCATCTCAAAGCCAGAGGAATGTCATCATAGTCATTATCAGTATCAGAGCTACCATTTGATTCGGAAAGTTCTTCCATGTTATCTCTGTTATTTGGCAATTCCAATAAGGAATCCAATTCTTCTTCTGATTGGTAATCATTCTCAATTTCAATTTCCTCCAAATCTGAATTGTTTGGATTTTGCACAGAACTTAGAATGGTTACTTTCTCTGTTTTTCTGCTATAAAATGATGATGTAGGTATCTCTCTAAACATGCTGCCTTATTCTAAAATGAAAATAAAAACAAAATTATTTTGACATTTCTGCACCACGTACACAAATGTGTACGGTTATTTTCACGTAATTTGCTCAAGACACCAAAATAATATATTTGATTTTATTGTACGATCTTGTATATTAGATATTTATTCTGTACTCACCAATTTTTGTTGCACAAAATTATGTCAAATTGAAAAAATACAGTGCCTGGACTTCTTCTCATAACCTCAAAACACCGTCAAGGAGACACGTGAATATAAAAATACGACGAGGTACAAAAGTCAAGCGATTTTGATCTCTATTTCGCTGTAACTTGAGAGGGGGATTGTAGACGTCCACAACGGTTGCCCCTACGTAAATGAGAACCAACTTTAAAGTATTGTTACAATATTTTAAACGAAACGTACACAAATGTGTTTATGTCCTTGAAGAGGTTAAACGATCATCTTCTGTCGTTAAACTATTTTTCACAAAATCTACAGTAACTTTGGATGGATCAGAACGAAATAAAATATCAATGGATGTTACGACTGAACTAAATCTGTCAAGCATTGCAGATAAAAAGGTGGTGATCTTTTCACTATCATCTATTTTACCTCCTGCATCATTTAATCCTCTTAAGGTTTTATCAAAATTCACCAAAAACTCACCCAAGTTGCTATCTTCTTTAAGTACTAAGTTGCACAACTTTTTCTGGATTTTTACTCCAGACTAAAGTCCTTGTCTTGTCATAAACAGCTTTAAGAGCTTCCATTTCAAAACATTATCCCCAACTAACTGAACAATAATATCTTTTGTAGTCGAATCACTTTTAACAAAGTCTTTGTACTTATCGTCAGTCCTAGCAGGTTTCTCTTGAGAAATGACATCAAGAACACCATGTCGTTCCAATGTTCTTTGAAATTGAAATTTTCACTAATCAAAACTGGCTCCATTAAATTGTTTTACATTAGCCATAAAAAATTGATTGCTGGACAAAGCCATAACTAAATGAAAAACATGCAAAAATTGTAAACTTTGTTTAAAACACAAACTTAAAAACACTTTTCTAAATTTCTGCAGCTGGGCCCACAGCCTGTTTACGCAGGTTAATAATAATAACATTATTATTATATGTATTTAGTTAGAAAAGAAATAAGTTTTATTGTTTATAAGTACAAGTGTAAGGTGTACAGATAAAAGTGACAAGTGACAAGTAAGTCATCCGACATCAACAAAGTAAAATGTGTTGCCAACACCAACATACATATAATAATTATTATAGTACTGAATTGTACAGCAACAATATGTACTGCTGGAGACAAATGCAGAGAAAACCATTTACAGCCCTAAGAACAAAAATATTTGAATAAATAATAAGCTATTTTGGACATGTGTTTTAAGAAATGGTCTTGAAAAAGTTACCATCCAGGGAAAAGTACTTAGGCAAAAAGATTTCCCACACAATACATGAACCATATTGTTGCTACTATTGCTGTTCCATTGTCAGAATGTGCTAGAATAGCAGCAAATAGAAGGATGTGGAGGAACATTGGAAAAATCAGCTATCTTCATGATATCATGATACTTGTATCAGGTTAACAACTAAGAAGAAGACATATCAGCTAAAAATATAGTAATTTTTTTTCTGTAAGCATTGAAGGTAATTTTAAAATTTTTATTTAATGTTATAAAAAAACTGATGTATCAGATTTGAATTCTTTAGTTTGACAAAATGAAACGGATGCATAGGTTATTAAAATTAATCTGAAACCATTTTGTGTACCATGCATAAGATAAGTTTAAATTAAATCTCTTAAACTTTGTAGTCTTGTCTAATTTCTTTCTAATGCTATATTATTCTTTTCTTCTGAAAAGAGATAACACCAAAAAGTTGTTAAATTTCTTTTACCAATCGAATAAATCTATCACAGAATGTATAAAAAAAATTTGAAAATAAAGTCTAAGTAACATTATGCAAGCCTTGGCAAATATGTGTCTACAAGAGCATCTTATGTATTAGTTATAGGGGCAATGATTAGTTTAGAGCACTCAACATAACCAAATACATTTTCCTCCTGGCACTGCGTCACAGTGTTGCCATATTTTTTTGTAAAATATGTATATGAAGGTTTAAAATATGAGTTACTTTTACGAAATTATAACTTGTGCTATAAGAAGCTACAAGTTTTGAATAAGTATAAAACAGCATTCATAAATATTTTCTGTTACTTTAAATGCAGTTAAGTAAATATTGTAAATCATTTGATGGCACTTTCCACATCTTATCTATTAGAACCTTATTATTAGGTGCAAATGGTCAAGCCCCTACAATGACACTTATGAATAATAAATTGTAAATTTTCAAATGTTTTTGTTGTATATGCATTTAATTATCTTAAATTTAATTAAAATCTATGAATTTTTATATAATTTCAATACATTTGTATAATATTATGTGAGAGTATGAAAAAACTGAAAATATGGCAACTCTGATACCATTTAAGCTTATGTTAAATGTCGGAAATAAGTTTGGTTATGATGGGTGCCCTAAACTAATCATTGCCCGGTTATAGTATCAAGACCATTGCAACACTTAACATTAATTTCTAACTGAAGCAGAATTCATTGATTTATATTTCGATATTTCAGATTCCTAATGCATACATCAACAACTTCAAGTTTCATGAAAGGAACAAATGAAAACGTTACACTAAGACACATAAGAAAAAATCAGCTTTTGATATATGAAATACCTCCATGATATAAACATAAGTTCTTCTGCATTTTTTTATTATTTATCTCACCTGAGGTATCCTCATTCTTTAAGACTCCAAGATCAAGAGAGGTGGATAGCTGACTGTGTATATATCTTGGATCATCTTCAACAAACTCTTCCTTAATTTCAGCTTCTAGAGACCTATCTAAAAAAAATTTCATTTCATCAAATTTTTAGTAGTAATTATTATTACTTATGTTACCTGAGTTATAGTCATCTGGTTCATTCTTCAAGTCTCTCAGAACAAATGAAGTGGATACCTGACTCTCTACATATTTTGGATTATCTTCAACAAACTCTTCCTTAATTTCAGTTTTTACAGCCCTAGCTAATAAAAAATACTAATTACATCTCATTTTTTAGAACTAATTAGGTACCATTTTGTCTTACCTGAGTTTTCTTCTAGTACATTTAAGTCCCCACGATCAGTTGACGTAGAAAGCTGATTCTCTATGTGTCTTTGGCTACTTTCAACAAACTCTTCCTTAATTTTAATGTTAGATTTCATAACTAAAACAACTCGGTGATCTCTAGACGTGGTAAGACAAGAAAAGAAAAGGTTAAAAAATGTTAAAATTATTAGGTTATGTCACTGTCACTTACTCTACCTCCTAACCTCCTACCGATGCCTCCTACACAGCCACGTAGTTTTATTGACATCTGTCTTTTTGAGGGGGGTTCAACTTCAATCCGTAAAATGTAATCATTGAATTAGTTACAGAACACACCACCAAGCGCTATTATCGGTAGATTCTGTAGATCACAAAACATTATTAATGTTTTGTGCTAAAATAGCGATGTCTGTCTTCATAACTGGCGTCTGTCGAATGTTATTGTCATAATTCTCGAATGTCGAATATTAATTGATGTTGATGATTAAGTATTAATTCAATATTTATTTTTTGTGTTTTAGTTAAAAGTGCTGTTAGATCAAGAAATATCGTATTTAGAATTAGAATATTAATTGTTTAGTTAAGGAGTGGTATAAGGATATTTTATTTTTTTTTAAAGTTAAGTTAGAAGTTAGTACAGGCTTTTATGATTCCTACTCTCATAGCATATTAATTTAATATTATGTATTAATTACTACATGTTTTAAGTTTGATTAAATGAAAATTATTGGTCTAATTTAATGTCTCTGAAAACTTTCAGAACTAATTTGTCACATTTATTCGAATATATAAACAGGATTAGAGTTCTCTCAATATTACCAACTACACAAGGCGTTTGTCAATTAGCAAGCTCTCCAACATGATAAAAATATTGATTAGTACCAGAACATTCCAACGTGGCGCTGATGATCACAACATTTTTTTGTACAGAAGTTGGTTATCTATCCCTCCTCTAATCTATGTCAGTTTCACTTTCCAAACAAACCTTGTTTAGTGTGGATAATTTGTATTTTTCGTTATTTTTTCATTTATTTTATAGAATCTTTCCGCTTTTTGCAATATTTAAGTATTCTAATAGTTATTAAGTATATAGCTATTAAGAATATCTAGGCCACATATTGAGACACGATAAGTACCGTCTACTGCAATTGATTGTCCAGGGAAAAATAGACAGTAAGCGAGGGCCAGGCAGGAGAAGACACTCGTGGCTCCAAAATCTGCGGAAGTGGTTCGGGCTCACATCGGTCGAACTATTCAGAAGCGCCGCAAACAAGATCAAAATTGCCATGTTAATAGCCAACGTTCGCAACGGACAGGGCACTTGAAGAAGAAGAATAGTTATTACAACAATTTTATACAAGGCTGTGTAAATAATAAAGCACATTGTTTGCTATGCTAATATCAAGCAATAAGCATATGCTAATAGCAATAAAATGCATGTATCAATAAAGTAAGGTTAGAATTTCTCAGTTGTAGAACGTTTAAACTATATTTCATAGAAATAGAACTCTGAATTATGATGGTATCGTAAAAAACACTATACTTACAAGAAAAAGCAGCAGAGGAAGCAAAATGTTAACTTTATAGAAATTAAAAAGTCTTGAGATTTGACATTTCAATGTTTGTTTGGAAAGTAATAACTAATAACACAGAATAATAAACAATCAGAAGGGCCACTCTCAGATGCCGCATTAAACAAGGAAAGAGAGTCTCTCTCCTTGTTTGACATCGAATTTAGTTGGGTTATGTTATTGGGTTTGTTCGTAGAACTGTGGTAGAACGATCAGCAACCGTTGCCAACCATCAGACGCACGCGCAGTTAACAGTTAGCGTTCGTAGAAGCACTTCTGACGGTTGGCAATTTTAAGTTTGCTGTTCGCAGTAACAAAGTGATTAATCAGAATTCGGTTTCCAATGGTTGTTAAAATCCCCAACGATTGTGCGGACTAAAAATCAGCGACATGCGCAGAGGTGTTGTTGTTGTATATAAATCTATTTTATAACCACAAAATAAACGTTGGGTTGTTATAACAACTATATAGGTATAACCATGATACTATGAATAACAAGATAGGATCTTCCCGTAGCTCAAAATCGGTCGGGTTCGCGCATGCCGTCATTGGAGACTAGAATTTGAATTCTTGTTAAAATTAAATGGGATTTGTATGCATTCTGTGATGAAATTACTAGACGAAAATAAGTTAAGAGGTTTAATAATTACAATAATCGTACACATAAGGATATCTCCAAACTATTTATTAAAGATTATTTATTGATATATACAAAAACTGACATTTCGAACGTGCAGGTCTCCAATGACGTCACAAAAACATGCGCAATATCTTATCTTATAGTCATAGTATCATGGGTATAACTAAAAAATAAAATATACTAAGAAAACTATAATCAAACTAATAAAATGAAATAAACGACTAATAATATTAAACAATAAATGCAAAAAAGTGAATAAAAAGATTTAACAAACTAATTAGACCGAATTCTAAAGGCCGTATGACACTATGCATATTCTTGTATCATTTCTTATATCGTTTCTGATATAACAAAAAAATGGATAGTGTCATACAAGCGTATAGTTCTTATATCAGAAACGATACAAGAATTTGTGTCCGATGCATTTTCATGTACAAGAAATAACCGCTCTAAAAATTAGTGATGAGTTTAAAGATTATTTTATATCTCCAAATAAGAGAGTAGAATGTCAAGAGCATGCCATTCAAACACATAATTAAAAAAAAAACAAATAAATTATTACAACCAAATTATTATTTCTGTCTTCCATTACAGCCTGATGAATATCTTCAAAAATTGTGGTTTCCAATTTAGTTTTAATATTGGGACATTTTATTTCTTTAATTTTTGCACCACAGTATTTTAAAAAATAATCAGTAGCATATGTCCTCAGTCTCCAGTAGCTTGGAGTCCTCAGGTACTGTAACTGCAGTGTATGCAGTTCTATTTTTATAGGTGTCAAAATTTCCACCAATCATGTGCCAAATCACAAACAATTTCTGGTAAAAGACCTTGCATAGTGTCATACAGGGCAAAAATGTACGTGAAAGAAACGATACAAGAAAACATACATAACTTTCTATATCAGAAACGATATTAGAAATGATACAAGAAAACTGCATAGTGTCATACGGCATAATAAGAAAAGGAGATTTCGAGATTTGACAAACGACAATGACAAATGCAAAATATTAAATTTTAGGTGTTCGCAGAGCACAAAATCACAAATTAATTCCAAACAGTTTCCAACTGAACATGCGCACTGTATTTCAAATCACAAACCGTTTGTAATCGCTACTACGAACAAACCTATTGTTTGTCCCAAATGTCACATGAAATTTTATTTATATTGAAGTTTTTTAACAATTATGAGAATTATTATTTTAGACTATTACCGTTAATAATTAATTAAAACTTTCTCGTCTAAGACACATTCTGAAAAATACTATATAGCTACTGTTAATAAGTGTCGGAAAATGTAAATTTGGCGCATTCGCATTTCCAGATATGTCCGCCATCAGAGGCCACTGTTTTGGTCCAAGGTCAGTAGATATTTACTTAAATATAACTTAACTTAGACGAGAAAGTTTTAATTAATTATTTCATATTCTGCTATTTGCTATTATTTCTGGTATTTCATATTTTGCTCCTCTCAATATGTGCCCAAGGTAACCAATCTTGCGTTTTTTAATTAATTCAAAGAGTTCTCTTTCCACGCCGGCTCTCTTAAGGACGTCATCGTTTCGAACTCTATCCACCCAAAGTATGCGCATCATTCTTCTCAATGACCACATTTCAAATGCATCAAGTTTGTTGATAGATGTTTTTTTTCAAAGTCCACGTTTCCATGCCATAAAGCAAGATGGACCATATGTAGCACTTGACCATTCTGTAGCGTATTTCTAAATTTAGGTTTTGATTACATAGGAGCGGTCTGAATTTCACAAAAGCTTGTCTTGCCATTTGTATTCGGGTTTTTATCTCGTGTTGTGGATCCGATTGATCATTGATTGTGGTGCTAAGGTATTTAAAAGTTTTCACGCGTTTTATACGATCGGCACCTATGTATATTATCGGGTTTTCTAGAGGGTTTCTGCTAATGACCATATATTTCGTTTTCAAAATGTTGATTTTGAGGCCATATTTTTTACCTATGCTATTCACCCTATCAAGTAATAACTGCTGATCTTCCAAATTGTCAGTTATAATCACTGTGTCGTCCGTATTGCGTAGGTTGCTAATTGGTATGCCGTTCACCTTAATGCCTAATTCCGTGTCTTCTAATGCTTCCGCAAATATATTTTCAACATATAAATTAAGAAGCATCGGAGAGAGTATGCAGCCTTGGCGGATACCTTTCCGGATTTCAAATTTATTCTTTAGACTATTAAAAAAAAGAATATTTCCAACTTCTTATGTGACAAGTACATACAAATTAGAAATGTTTGGATAGGTTTTTAAAACCCCCGCTCATTCTGACGTCAGACTTAGATAGTCCATTCTAGGATTCTAGACCAAATATGGTTGTTAAGTTGTTGAAACCTGAAATCTACTGGTGAATCCGAGTTTAGGTGTTTTCTTTCTGGATCTATAGCGTTCAACAATTTTATGGAACATATCTAAAACTATTTAAACATTTAAATTTTAGTAACAGCTTAGCTTAAATAGCGTTTTTTTTTTAAATTTAACCCTTAACTACCATGGCCAAAAATAGTAACATTTGTACCATGGCAGGGTCAAATTTGGCCCCCCATTGTTTTTTGTATAAAAAAATATTCTTTTTTTAACTTGTTTTATTTTAAATTATTTTGTTTACAGCTACTTTTACATTTATACAAAAATAAACGATTTTAATTAGATATAACTTTATTTAAAAAAAACTTTTGTATTCAGTCAAATTAACATAGCTTTGCACTTTCTCGAATTATAAGAAAAATAACAACAATGTGCAGTTTTTTATATCCAATGGTGAAATCTAGGTATCATAGCTCCTACCTAAAATAAAAAAAAATCAATTTAGATTTCGTATCTCACAAATGACAACCATGATTTTACCTTAATTTTCAACACAGCTTATGCATAACGTCTGTATGCGGGAATGATTTTTGCAAATAAAATCTCGACATTTATCGCACGATGAGCTTTCTTTCTTTTAGTTTTTGGAATATGGACATATTTTACACCTTCCCTCTTTTTTCGTCGTTGTGGCTCTGGATTTTCGGCAGGCGTTGGTTCCTGAAGTCCGGAAACTTTAAAAATGGCACTACGAATTTCTCTCATTAAACAAGTTTGCTGAGCTCTACGAGTTAAATGGGCCTTAATAAGTTGTTGACCTAAAGTGGTTAGAAACAATCTTCTTTCCATTATTTGATTTTGCTGAACTCCATTAAAAATTA